CACAGCGATCTCTCGACCTGACTTCCCTAGATTTATGCCTGTGGAGATACATGAAGTCCATGGTTTACGAGATGACCATAACATTGGACATGGATCTCATCACCAGGATCGTAAAAGCGGCAGCACGCGTCCGTGACACTCCTGTCCATTTTCTGGGAATCCGGGAATCCATGCGTTGACGTTGTGAAGCATGCAATTTGGCGAATGGGAGGAATTTTTGAACATTTTCTATGATTTAATCATGTTCTTTAATAAATGTCATATTAATACCGCCTTTCTTCCCGTCTACGCTTGCGAACACTGCCCTCTTGCGGTCGCCGTTTACATTTTCGGACACAAGTTCTATGTAAATCCTGTTTGTAATGGTATGACAGACTAGCGTGTTCCAATAAGTTTTGCAACGACCTTTTGAGACACCTTGTATAGGTGGCAAATAATATGAAGTATTTAATTAGCCTGAAAAATGTACTAGATAAACGATTACAATTAAAAAAAATTACTGTACATATATTTGAACCTCTTAGTAGAACTCAGCAGACTGTTTTTGTACATTGTAGTTCGGCACAACACTAAATTTGATTGATGGAAAATTTAAAGAGCTGAATTTTTAATACTTTGATAATAAGTTCAAGAAATCGCTTATTATCAAACATAATTTAACAACTGTGCAGTAAATTGAAAAATCCTTAAGTTCAAAAATCAATGTTTTAATCAATACCACACCAAAGACATATGGTAAATCAAGAAGATTTAATTCGTTATTACAAGAGGATTTCGTTATTTCCCAGCAAAATACAGTATCTGCAAAAATGAGCTCAGTTTTAGAAACTAACCTATTACATAGCCCATTTTCTTCTTCTTTTGAGATGTAAACTTCATTTGGCAGTGTCTGCAGAAAAAAACCGACCTCGCCTGCTGTTAATATTACTTAGGGTAAATAAATTCTATTTTTGATGAAATCGCAAATACTTTCAGGAAATGATTTGAACAATAACCTTAATATTGAGTTGACCTGGTGAGTTTTGAATCGACGAAACAAGTCATTGGATTGTAGTTTAAAACTTTGTAGAAAGCACTATCGTTATCATGCTTTACAAGTAGCCTTACGCAATTATTTAAAAATGAGTCTTAAGTTTATTGAAATATAGCTTTATTGTTGTTGCCTAGTTCGTAAGATTAGAAACTTCTCCTTTATTTCGATGTTTTTGTTAGTAAGTGTTAAGCCCACATGGAATAACAATTTCAGTATTTTCTGTAATTTTTTGTTGTGTCTTAATAACAGTTGATTTGTTGATCTGTTCCTTTGACTTGCATTCAGCATTCTTTTAACTTGTCAAATTATAAAAATTAAATTCTCCTCAGAGTCATCATTCTTACCTGAAAAGTTTACAAATAAATAACTGTCTTAAAATATACTAATGAACGCGTTATTTTAATTATGTGCTTGCCTTTAATTATAGTTAGTTACCTAAACTTGTAACGAAGTTTCTAAACTCATATTCAATTTGTTTATCTGAAGTACTAATATTTTTACATGACGTGCACTAAGAAACAGTAAAAGTCATTCTGTTACTTTGTTTCTAAGAACTACCTAAAATTATTACTGAGGAAAAATAAGAAAAGGTGATGTAAAATTAACTTAATGGACTGGAAAAAAATTTTTCCTCGCTTGTTATACGTATTTTTACTTAAATTGCACTCGGTAATTTTTCCTTATATGATGTAAATGAAAATGAAAGTGAACAAGTAAATTATGATATTATAAGCTATACCATTGCAAAATTTGTAAGTTCACTATTAACCGAAGGAATACAACCACTATTGTTGCTCATAGTTCACTTTCTATTAATTTCGCGGTTGTCCTAAGATGTCTAAGAAAACAAACACAAGCACTTTGTCGAAATACACGACTTATATAGAAAAACGCTGATTCTCTTGAAACAAAAGCAGGTAGTAATAGACCTTTTTCTGGGGCTGCCTTGTTATTGGTCAAAGACACAAGTTGTAAGTGAATGATTTCATGTATAGTCTCACTCTAAGTTTGTTCCAGAATCTCCGAGATTATCCTTGGAAAATTCATGACAACTGTTTTATTTACGTAAGAAATATAATCATACAACAGCAGAACTGTTGATATGAATAGAAAGACCATTTTTGATACTATACAAAGCAAGTATGAACAACAAATTAATAGTAAAGCACAGAGGCCATACATTTGTGTATTTTTTAAATATACATGTTTACATTTTCATTTACTTAAGAATTAAGTTATGATCCCATTCAGGAAAATATTTTTAGCTGTTAGTTATCCATTTTTTTATTTATAGATGTATCCGCACATAAGTGTATAATTCTTCTTTTACGTCTGATATTTTACCGAAGTGCATTTCATTCATGCTCTTGAAACCGCATTACAACAGCTTAAGTATTTAATAATACTTAATAAAGTACTTAAACATGTTTGTAATGTAAGTCTATTCAATATTGTTTTATACTTAATCCTTATTCTTATCGCAAATGATTAGTCTAGAGGCTTGATTATTTTAAATTTCGGGAATTTACTGCAAGGCGTACAATAAGCAATTTATGTACAAACAGTCTGTCGGGTATCGAATTATTACCAAACAATTTGGCTAAACTTCCCATGAAAGAGGTACTAAAGTACACTTGTAAAATTTATGAAACGCCGTTTGGATATTGGGTTCCCGAGTGCGAAATCTGAAGAATGCTGTAACTTGAATATTTGAAGATCATTTTACGGTTAAAACCGTAACATATTCATTTCTTCGATTATCAGATTTAAATGATCATGAATAAATAACATGTTTTCGATTTACGGATGCCAAACAGTTGACATCCAACAATTACTCACAACATAATGTGTGGGTAGAGGAAGTCGTGTGCTACATCGCCCACATTAAGTATGTAGTAAATAGCTTTTCAATACCTATAGCCGTTGAAGGAAAACTTGTATCACTGGCCGTCGAAGGTCAGTGAATGCTTAACCATTATCGAAAGAAAATATTTATACAATCTTATGAATATTATTTTCGTTAGAGAGTATGCAACGATACGGCGTTTATATTTCATTTCGATATGCGCCATGAAACTTTGATTAAAACCACACAAAATATACTTTTGGAATTTGCACGAGCATTTGTTAATGTTGTAACCGATCCATTACATGATGTGATAGATTAATAGGCAATTTATAATTGCAAAATAAGACAGAGCCGTCTAATTCCTGAAGGACATTGGCTGAATTCTTGCAGTAATTATTTTCTTCCTTGACAAATCCGAAAGTTGCATATTGCTCTTCACCCAATTAATATCCATTCAGGATTTCGCGAACTTCTTCAAAATAGGTAATCTCTTCGGAAACGGTAATTTTAATTCTGATATTCCTAGCAAGCCTGTTTGGTCGCCAGAAACCGAAAAGAAATTACTATAGTTGGTGATGGTCAGTTGGAGACCATTTAATTAAGAAAGACCATTAAGTTGGAGACCATTTAATAATGGCAAGTGAGACTCAGCTTTTGGAGAAAATTATAAAGTGACAGCACAAGATCTAAATCAAAAATTGCAAAAATAATATTGCCAGTAGCAGAATAAGATTATATCTTATCAATTTAACTCTACTGAAATATACTGCTATTGTACAAAGAAATATGGGTGGGTAGAAGTTTATGACACAAATAAGTTTATTTTATTGCTATCTGCAGCATCGTATAACATGTTCAAAGCGCATGTTCGTATAACATGCTCAAAGCACATGTTCGTATAACATGTTCAAAGCGCTGTTGTTGCCGTGGTGAATGCAGCAGGACTGTAGTGTTTCATTAGAAGAAGATTCGTAGCGCTCCGAGTAGGTTTTTAACAGGAAATGTTGTGAGAGAAAACTCCGATTTTCAAGAATTCAGTGAATTCAAATTGAGGGTCAAAGTAAAGCGAGCAATAATTTTAGCCTCCCAAAATTTTAATTTGTGGCTTTTATTCTAATAATGGGCTGAAGATTTTTTTTACTTCCTTCTCTTTACCGTACTCGCAGAAACTGTGCTTGTAACGCTACTCGCTAAAAGATCTGAGAGTTTATCCTATATATGCAAAATTACATTTCCAACGAGTTTTATAGTATTAATGCCCCAGCCTAAGATTTCATGTAAAATCTCTTCCCTGTAATGCACGTCAAGATGTTTAGCTCAACGCCTAGTGAGCAAAACATCAGTATATTCTGTTGATTCTGGATTTTCTAGTGGCATTTGACATTCAAAAAATCTTTCTGTTCTAATTAACGACCCTAATTCCAATACATCTTTGCCTTCAGCCTTTAAAGCAATTATGTTTTAGTTCTAGTTTCATCAATAGATGGCGCCAGTAGCTCATCTCCTTCCAGGCTTTCTTATCTTATCTAATCATTATATCCTATCTCGTTCATTTGCGTTTTTGCAATTGAGGATGTTGGTTCGGTAAAACCATCAAAACTAGTCCTGTGAAAATTTGAAAATATAGCGCTGATTTTTGTTGTTTGACTTCTAAATTAAAATACTATACCTAAAAAAAAAACCCTTTCAATTAAAAGTCTAGATTTTATATTAATACTACATTGAAAATGTTTTAGGCATTGTACACAAGTAGTTCGTTCATGCATGTAAAATTTGGATTTCAAAACTAAATTAAATATTAAGTTTTAAAATTTCTCTTTTAAATTCCAGACCTATTGGCATTTACTTCGTAGAAGTCATCAAATCTAAAATTCTATTCAAATCTAACTTCGTAAAATTACATTCAAGGAAATTCAGATTTAAAGAAAGTTTTTACTTTTTTCTTTGAAGGATAGGAAAAAAGAAAAGTCCGCTGTCTCTCAGTTTATTCTATTCTTCAATTTAAACAATTCTCATTTCAGCGGAAAGAATATTTTACAAGCGAATGCCAAGTTGTATGCTGACCTGGAAAAAAACTGAGTTCACAAAGCAATGACACAAAGTTTCTCTTTCACTTACCTATAACTGAAGATTCGAATCTGAATATCCGGTTCTTCAGAAACAAATAGCAACAAATAACTATTTTCTACTCCTTCATCTTGTAGCCGAAGAAGCCTTATTCAAACAATTTTCTTCAAGTAGCTTTGTCTAAGGAAGAGTAAAAATAACATCCGTGCAAGACGGTTTTTCAGGCTGGAAATAAAAGAAAAATATTTTTAGACAATGCGAATTTTTCTTCATATCTCTAGAATCCAAACTAAAACGAAATATCACAAAGAACTCATAAACAAACAGTTTGGAAGATGGCATGTAAAATAAATCAATAATGCCCTTAGAAATTAAAGAAATTTATACACAAAAAACTGACTAATTATTGGTAAAATTACTAAGTTTAGAGAATAAAAATCAAGAATTATTTGTAATAAAAAAAAACTCAAACTGAAGTTAAGGAACAAATTTTGAGATTGATGATGGTGAATTTGGGGTCATTAAAAGAAAATAAATTTAAGAATATTTTCAGCACACCATTATCTTTTTTGTGCTTCCTTAAAAAATTTATATGTACTGAAGTGATGCTAATTTTACAATTACATTATGCTAATAAACATGTGAATGTACTATATAGACTACGAGAAACACAAAAACTTCAGAATTTATTAATCAAATATGCTACAGAATTTTTATTTTGGAAAAATTTCTAATTCATAAAACATTTGCTCACAAGCTCGTATTCACAATAGACATGAGAGAAGCCACAAAACTTTCCACACAGTCAGCCCATTCGTCGAGATTTATGCAGGGGCCGACATACTCGTGTTCATTGGTTTTACCGCTCGGTCGCTAGAAGTTACATTAATAAAAAAATGAAGTGTTTATTTACCAAGCGTTATAATACTGCTTGTCAGCAAAAGCGGGCAGTTAGCAAGGACAAGAATGGACCAGAACTTCAGTTTTCCGAAAACTCTTTTTGAAGACTAATTGGTGGCATAAAATATATACATATATATGTGTATTGTTACAAAATGTCCAGCCGCGGTAAGATAGCTTCCCTGCAAAGCAGGTTTAAGGTTACCAGAAAATAGCAAGGGGAAGCAAGGTTGCCATACTTGGAGATAAAACGCTCATTTAGCGACATTTGGCGACAAAATTGTCGATATGCCATAAACGGATGGAGAACCTTCTGGAACGAATTCTTACTGGTTTAGCCCAGAATGTTCTCGAACACAAGCCAAAAGCTATATAAACCCTGCTGGTACGCAGAGAGTCCGTCAGAAGAGAGAGTCTAGTCCAGTCAGTCGATCGCGAGTCAGTTACTGTCTCGTCTAGCGACTCCATCGAGCTGATAGTCAGTCAGTGAGTGCCTAGTCGAGTCGGTTAAGAGTTAGTGAGCGAGTGTCTCGTAGTCTAGTGCCGTGTCAAATCATACATTAACAAGAACAAATTTCGCATAAGTGGACAAATTTAATGTTTAATAATAAATGTATTACATATGACTTTTGTTTTATTTTGTTTATTTAGTTTGGTTTCAGTTGAAGACATTTCCCTTTCCGAAAGTTTTTATTGCTTTTTCATTTTTATGTTATTGTATGTTAACAACTATTCTTTGATGTTGAAAGTACAATATAAAAAATAATATTTCAGGTATTTCATTATTATATTTTTGGAAGCAAAGAATTATTTTATAATAAAAATTAAAGGTCTTAAAAAATGGTTCCTTTCGTGAAAAATTTTGAATTACGTAATCCTTGTTTAGATTATTTTTGTATTGATCAGATGATGGAGAGATATAAAAAGAACAGTGAAGCTCGTTAGTTCCAAAGGCAATTAATTAACAAAATTTCACGGAAACGCACTCTCATTGATCCAGTTCGAAGAGTTCGAAGTTCGAGTAACATTTTACTTTAGTGATGAAAAATTGGGTACTTTCATATTATCCCATCAACCGCTGGAGGAAATTTCGGCAACGGTCGCCAATCTTTAATTTTAAAGGACACAGTCATCCATAATTCCCTCAGAGGAAATAAGATATAAAAGAGAATCACGCTAATTTGAAATGTAAAATTAGATATAATCATCCTTAGATTGATGTTGACTCAATTTTTGAAATTTGGAAAAATTATTTTGGAAAAATTTCTAATTCATAAAACATTTGCTCACAAGCTCGTATTCACAATAGACATGAGAGAAGCCACAAAACTTTCCACACAGTCATCCCATTCGTCGAGATTTATGCAGGGGCCGACATACTCGTGTTCATTGGTTTTACCGCTCGGTCGCTAGAAGTTACATTAATAAAAAAATGAAGTGTTTATTTACTAAGCGTTATAAAAACTATATGCATATATAGAGATCCGAACCAACTCGCGAAACACATAAAGCTGGGAAATACATAAAGCTTTTTTATACATTCCCAAGGAATTCTATGAATCAATAATAAGCAAGGTTAAATTTTAAATAACATGAACTGTAATGAGTTCAGTTCATGTTATACATATATTATATTCTATAACTGCCGGAAATATTTTCGACTAACACTGGTATAAAATGAGTTAGTCTTCTGTTTCTATAGTTCGGATAAATTGAGTAAAACTCTTAACAGATAAAATTTTTTACCCAGTTATTGTTAAGCGTGAAATATCTAAACAGGCTTAAGAGCACGGGTCATTTCAAAAGCGCCATCACTGAACGTTCCAATGACCCCGCCGAGTACCCTCTAGGTTTCTAGTGACCGCAAAAGCCGCAAAAATGCTCTCTTCTCTCATTTGGGTTCATCTTGGGTGTGTGCACCTTTGTTCGACCCTTCTCTCTTATCTGACACAGATAAAAATTATCATTTTATGCATAACTTTCTCTGAAGGAATATTTAAATTAATGACACGCGAATTATTTAAGCGTCCAGTTAGAACTTTCCTCTTTAGAAGATTCTTTTATTGTGCGGTTAATAAGCACGTCGGACGTTATTTTGTTGCTTTAGGGTGTGGATGAGATTAGATATTCCGCAAAGTTTTCTCTTCGCTTATTGCTCTAATTACTTTTGCTTAAAGACTTGCAAAAATATAATTGTAAAATTGCTTTCTTAGACTATTCTTAAGCTACTTTATATATACCGCATCCGTTATACGTCGTAAATTACTGTAAGTACTTTAAATATTCTGATCAGCTTGGATCACAGCTCATTCTGATATTCGAAAAATTAAGGATATATTCTTTTCACTTCTTGTGAATCAAAAAGGTATTTACTGCAAACGCAGGTGGGAAAATGTTACTTTTTCTTTTATCCTGTTTCATTTCTGCAACGAGCTAATGGCTTAAAATATAAAGCATTTTTATTTCCGTAAACAAAGCACGTTTTTCATCAAAATTACCGTTATTTTTTTTTTTATTTATCTAAAACAATAACCCACTTCACCAAAAGTAAAATAATGAAGCTGATTTTTTATTTATGCTGAACATGTAACCTTGTATTTATTTTTACTATAAATAAATAGATACGTTTTTATATGCGTAAAACAAAACGCATATAGTTTGCTTATATTCCCTAAAATTAAAATAAGATACGTTTTACAATAGCCCTATATTCAGCAGGCAAGTGTATTAACTGCTTTCCAGTTAATAGTTACAGGCCGAACATTATAGGCCAGTCTATACGTTTTATACGTTATCTAAATGAATTTAATGACTTCTTAAAAATACGCTCTGTTAGACATTATTTCTTACATTGCTTAAATTAAAAAAAAGAATAGAAAATGCTCAAATAAGTCAACAATAAACTTAACCATTTTTGGCCTGGAAAGAAGAACAAATATTCTGAATGATTGAAACTATGAGGCGTTATCATGTACATTTTTCTATATAGGTTTACTTTAATAAAAAAGAATATTTCTATAAAGCCTTTCGTAAAACGTTTCTAAAGACTCTCATGGTTGTGATAAATATATTTACATTAATGTAAGTTGATAATCGACTAGAGCAGGTTTATCTAATCGGCCACAACAGGCTATTACCGATTCCTGAATGTGATTGAGAATTTGCCTATCCTGATTGTCCCATTGAGTTTCTGAACTATGTGCCGTCCAGACGGTAAAGTAACTGCTGTATCAAAGGGCTCAGGTTCGAATCCCGAACAAGGCATGGATGTATATTGTCTGTCTCTTCATAGGAAGCAACAGTGGCCACCTATTAATGCCTGCATAATAAAATGACCACCGCTTCTGGCATTAGTAGTGACCAAAGCCTAAAATGGCTAGTGAACACCATAAAAAAAACAGGGAAAAAAGAGAAAGAAAACTTTGAACTTTGTAGAAAACATAAAGCTGTAACAGCTCTAATTTGGCCATTGTGTATGACTTCGCTTTCACAAATTCTTCAGCCCCTTCTTTCTTGAAAAGATTATTTCTGGGAATGATTATTTAATTATGATCCAGAATTACAACAGATATTAACACGATTCGTCCTCCAACAAAATGGAAACACCCTTTCGTTATGCGACATGAATGAGAGTACAACTGGAGTAGAGCTTCCCTAGAGAAAAACAAGGAAGTGGTAGAGATTCCTTTCACATGCTCTTTGTAGTAGATCTTCAGATTTAAACCCTCTTGATATTTTCTTGATATTTATTGAGAATAAATTGAAGTCCTTAGTTTAGCAGAGCTAGTAGGACATTTAATGGATTTCATAGAACCGATCAAGTAGTAGAACCGATTGTAGAATTTTAACAAACTCCACAAATGCTGAAAAACAAATATATGGTGAGAGATTGAATAGCATTTTTTTTTTACATTCGTAACGTTATAAAAGATGCCCATACAGAGATTTATAGTTTTATTAATGACTGCAAAAATTTTCATATGATTTTTATATCATCATAAAGGTAAATTTTCTATTTATATTTTTCTATAAATCATCGGAACTTATTACTGGTAACTTTTGTATAGGACACCTATTATTAATATTGTAACACAAAAAATATTTTCCTCACCTAATTTTTCAAAGATTGCAGAACTGAAGATAAAAGTATTTTATAAAGCCTTTTTATTTGTTTAGATGCATAGAAACTGAGACTAAAATGAAATATGTGTGGAAATTAAGCTTTACATAACGTTTCAACTAATTTGATAAACATGAAAACTGTTCGACGAAAATACTTTTCCGCATTATGTATTTTTTTAACTACGAAGCGTTTCAATGCTCCA